AGCTGTGACTTGATGGCACTTTCTACCACCACTACATTAACTAATATGCAATGAGGGTATGATGACCTCACCCACTTCCCTCCCTCAGAGGCAGACTCTTCTCTCAATTTTTCCCTCTCTTACGGACTGAGCAGTCTTTTTTATCTAGTCTCTCTCTTACGGACCTCTCTTACGGACTGAGCAGTCTTTTTTATCTCTGAAGATCTATGGCTGTCCCACCCTGTCACAGTATGATATTTTGCTGCTGGGTCAGTCCAGGAACCTGAGGGAAGGGACAAGATCACCCCTTCAACTTTAACTACTGAAATGGCAGGTGAGAGGCTTTTTAAAGTTCAAAAGTTCAAAATTAATTTTTTTTAATTTTTATTTAACTTTAGACTTGATATACCGCCCTAACCCCGGAGGGTCTCTGGGCGGTTCACATGTGTTGCGTTCTAAGAACTGTAATCCTAACTTGGGCCACATCTAGTATTGGGGGTGGGACTGCCTACCGGCACCCTTGGTGGTGGGCCCTTGACGGTCTTCTGGCTGCTGGCTTGGCGTCAACTCAATCTCTACTGGCGGCTGGATCGGCACGGCGTCCTCTAGGTCTCTTGGCTGCTGGATCGGCACAGCGTTCTTCTAGGCCTCTGATGTCTCCGCGGCGACCACCGGCAGGACCGCGCAGGCGCACAGCTTCTGCACGCTTCCGGCCCTGGCTCCGTCTCTCAGGCACTGCCGTGCCTGCGTCACACGCCGTCGTGCGTCTCCGGTCTCCGTCGTCGCTGTCGCCCGATGTCTCCATTCCGGCCACCAGGGATCGCTTTTTTATTCAACGTAAAGGCGGTAAGGTCAGGTGAAATCAGGGGTAAAATGTCTGAGGTAAGTCAATAATGAACTCTATGTAGAGACTTCCGGTCTGTGGCTCGACGATGGCAGTCGCATTCCACTACCTCTGGGGAGGAGACTTGCGCACCAGTGGTTTGGAGGGGTGTCACCTCAAGTGACACCCCCAGGTGAGCCTTGGGAAAGGCTCCAGACCAGGGGTGCTGGGGGGGCAACCTCTTCGATGGCGCAATGCCAGAGAATTGAGGCGCTCTCTTGCCCCGAAGGTTCGACCACTGTGTGGCTCAGTTTTCACTGAGCATAATTGATGCCAGCCGGGACAAGCAGAGGAGATCAGCGATACTGTGAAGCTACAAGAGGTCTGAGGGCAGACCGGCAATGAACCAGAGAGCGTTTTAAGCAGAAAGTCTTAAAAGTGAGTCCTTCCCCCCCCCCTTAATTGAAAGTGAGGGAACCCCCGGCTTAAACAAATAAACTGAGCTGATAAGCGAAGGGGTGTGGGGGAGAGGAAGCAATAAAGTGCGTAAGAGACTTAGCTGAGTTTGTGAAGGAGAATCGAGTGTTTCTCCGGAGAAGAGTGAAATGGTTCT